GGGCTGGGAGCGGTTTGGGGGGGCTCCTGAGGGGGCTGGGGTGGGTTTCAGGAGACGGGATGGGAATGCAGGGGGTTCCCGGCTGGCCGGGAACTGTTCGAGTGGCTCCTCAGGGGGCAGCAGTGGGTTTCAGGAAACTGTGGGGATGAATCCATTGGGCTCCTGGGGATCCGGGAGCTGTTCGAGGGAGCTGCGGTGGGTTTCAGGAGACTGGGGATGAATGCAGTGGGCTGCTGGGAGCAGGCTGCTTTAGGATGCTGGGAATAAGCCTCCGTATGGGGCCTTTTGGAGCTCTTGAAGGGCTGGGTGGGTCCGAGGGTCTGGGAGTTGTTCGTGGGAGCTGCCCTGTCCCACATGCCAGGTGGTGCTGCAGGTCCCGGTGCTGTTCGAGGATGTGGCAGTGCGGTTCAGCCGGCAGGAGTGGGCAAGCCTGGACGAGGGACAGAAGGAAATGTACCGGAGCGTCATGGAAGGCAACTACGAGATGCTGGTGTCCCTGTGTAGGCTGCGTTTGCGCCGGTTTGGCAGCCCCAGGGAGCTCTCTTGGGGTCATTTCTCTGCCTCTTTGCCTTTCACTGGACTCTCCAGCTCTGAAATAATCCTCTCCTCTCCCTGTCCCCTCTGGCAGCAGTTGGAGCGTGGCAGGAACACGCAGGACAGGGTAGTAAGTGCTTGGTGTTTTTTCCTCGTGGAGAACAGTACCTTATTGGTGTTGCACCTTCCTGGGTTGTAACCTCCAAAATCCTTTGCCTGGGAAACCCCTTTCCATGAGAATTTTCCCTGAAGTCCAATCTGAACCTCCCCTTGAAGCTGTTTCCTGTTGTCCTCTTCCCTGGAAGCAGGTCCTGATTCCCTCCAGGCTACACCCTCCTGTCAGGGAGATGTGCATAGCCAGAAGGTCCCCCCTGAGCCTCCTTTGCTCCAGGCTGGGTCCCCCAGCTCCTGGTGCTCTGTTCCTCAGGTCTATTCACTTTCCAGGACATGTTCCAGCCCCTCAATGTCTTCCTTGGCATGAGGGGCCCGGAATTGCCCCCAGGATTCGAGGTGGTCCCTCAGCACAGCCCTCAAGCTCTGGGCAAACATACAGTCAGGAGCCTCACAATTCCCTTCCCATCATTCAGGGTATTTTCCTATCTGCAAGGTGAATTTCTGGGAGAACAGGGAATTCTGTAGCAGGGGCAGAGCAAGGATGGATTTTTTTGCAGCTGTTCTCAGGGGACTATCAAAGGCTGCTTTCCATATTCCCCTGTCAGCTCTGCCTGCTGTTTCCTGTCTGTTTCCGTAACTTCCGTCGTGGTGCCGGTTGGAGATGAAGTTTCCTGGGGTGGGACTGGCTCTGTTGCTCAGCTGTGGGTGCAGAGTCCCTGTCCCATCATGTCCCTGATGTCTGTCTTGCTCTTGCCCAGATTGTGCCCTGTCCAAGCCTGAGCTGTTATTACAGCTGGAAAGAGAAGAGCTGAGCACGCCACCAGAATCGGAGCCAGAGGCAGCAGAGGTGTCCCCAGAGCTGGCTGCAGGTGGGTGACACTGGGTTTCTTCTGTGCCAGGAGCTTCTTGCTGCTCACTTGGGACCATGAATCCCAGAATTTTGGGTTTGGGTTAGAAGGAATCTTAAAGCTCATCTCTTTCCAAGCCCCTGCCATGGGCAGCAACACCCTCCACTAGCGCAGGTTGCTCCAAGCCCTCTCCAAGCTGGGACACTTCCAGGGATTGGGAGGTGTCAGCTGTGAGGGAAACACCTTCTGGGACGTGTGGATAGCCTGGGAGCCCCTGCCCCAGCAGGGGGCTGGGTGGGAGGGATCCTGACACCCTATGGAATGGGATCCTGCACTGGCTCCTTGGAGCTCTCCACTGGCTGGTGGAGAAAATCCAAATTTCCTCGTCCTTTGCAGAGCCGACCCAACAGAACTGCACCAGCGATGACACACTGCTGGAGACAGAGACAATGGAGAGGGGCTGCAGGGAGCCAGAGGAAAGTGGGAATGTGGCAGAGGAAAGCAAGAACCTGGTGGAGGAAAGCAGGAGCCCAGTGGAGATAAGTGGGAACCTGACTGAAGAAAGTGAGAACCTGGTGGAGGAAAACAGGAGCCCAGCAGAGGAAAACAGGAGCCCAGCAGAGGAAAACAGAAGCCTGGCAAAGGAAAGTGGGAACCTGGCAGAGGAAAGTGGGAACCTGGCAGAGGAAAGTGGGAAGCTGATGGAGGAGAGCAGGAGCCCAGTGGTCGCAGAGAACTGCAGCAAACGTGAGTGCCTGGCAAATCCTGCTGCTGCTGTGAGGGGTCCTGGCTGTTTCTCACTCACCTTCATCACTGCTCTTGCCCTCACAGCACCCATCCCTCTGGAAGCCGCTGCTGTCCTGGCGGATCTCAGCCAGCTGTCCCCTCCCCGCCCGCTCTCCGTGCGCTGTCGGGAAGCCGTGGGTCAGAACTGTTCTCCCCCTGCAGCAGGTACTGGGACAGGACTGGGACAGGACCTTTATCCCTCCTTGGTGGGGCCAGCAGCTTGAGGGGGTCTGTTGGGCCTCTCTCCAGGCTCGGGGATTCCAGGAAAGGGCAGCAAATCCTGTTACCAGCCCTGAAACCATTTGGGATAAGTCACAGCATGGCACACCTGCCCAGACAAGCCCCAGGGTGGTTGTCAGAGTCCCCTGTCCCCCTGGGTGATGTTTTCCACCTCAAGCTGCTCTTGGGGTGTCTACAGGGATAGGCTGTGGCTGTTCCTGGTTTTTACACAGTCCAGGGACTGTGCTGGGAGAGGAGAGCTGGGTTGGGATTTGTGCTAGCTGGGAACAGGGTGGAAAGTGAGGGAGGGTGGGAGCAAAGCCCTTTGCTGTTCATGCCTTAAAACCACTTGGAAAAGTGATGTTTGGATTGTCAAAAATTCCCAGGAGATGCTGAGGCGGCGATCCCAATGGAGGTGCTGCAGGAGAAAGTTGCTGCAGAGAAGCCACCAATGCCCAAAACACCCTCTAAGGGTCCTGAAGAGGATGAGGGTCCGGAAAAGGAGACTGTGAAAGATTCAGGGAATACCAGCCAAGATCTGGTGGCCAACATTCCTGAAGAACCAGGAGAGAAGGTGACACCAGATGTCCACAGAACAACGGAACAGGCGGATCCCAGCCCCGGGGAGCCAAAGAAGGATTCCTGCGTGGGCCGGCCGGCAGCCTGTCAGCGAAATGCCGCCCGGGAGTTTTACTCCTGCCCCATCTGCAGGAAAACCTTCCTGCTGAAGATCAATCTCCTGATCCACCAGCGTGGCCACACCAACTGGGTGCCCTATGTCTGCGTCCACTGCGACCGCAAGTTCATGTCTAAGAAGAAAATCAGGCGGCACCTCCGTGCCTGGGCAGTCAACGGCACCTGCCAGCCCTCGGATGCAAAGGTGTGTCCCAGCCAGGGGCCGTGCCAGGGGCCGTGCCCGACATCCCAGCCCCAAAAATGGGCACCCAATGGCTCCTGCCAGCCCTCAGATGCAAAGGTGTGTCCCAGCCAGGGGCCGTGCCCAGCATCCCAGTGCCCAACATCCCAGCCCCAAAATTGGGCACCTAATGGCTCGTGCCAGCCCTTGGATGCAAAGGCGTGTCCCAGCCAGGGGACGCCGTGCCCAACATCCCAGCCCCAAGCCTGGGCACCCAATGGCTCTTGCCAGCCCTCAAATACAAAGGCGTGTCCCAGCCAGGGGCCATCCCAACCCCAAGCCTGGGCAGCCAACGGGACTTGCCAGCCCTCGGATGCGAAGGTGTGTCCCAGCCAGGGGCCGTGCCCGACGTCCCAGTGTCCAACATCCCAGCCCCCAGCCTGGGCACCCAATGGCACCTGCCAGCCCTCGGATGCGAAGGCGTTTCCGAACCAAGGGCTGTGCCCAGCATTCCTGCCCCAAACCTGGGCAGCCAATGGCACCTGCCAGGCCTCGAAGCCGGAGGAGTGTCCCAGCCAGACCCTGTGCCCGTCCTCCCAGCCCCAAGCCCCGGGCAGGGACTGTGGCACCGTGTGGCAGGAGCCTGGCCCTGCCAGGTGCTCACTGTCCTCTGGAAAAATGATGTACACATGCAACGAGTGCCTGGAAACCTTCTCCAGCCAGGGCTTCCTGACGGTGCACCAGCGCCGGCACTCGGGCCACCACCTCATCCTGTGTCCTTGCTGCAACCGCAGCTTCACCTGGGTCTCGGACTTTGTCCGGCAGCACTGGACGCACATGGGTGTCCGGCCCCACCAGTGTGGCATCTGCCAGAAGACCTTCAAGAGGTTCTCCCACCTCAAGGCTCACCAGAGGATCCACAGGCGGCAGGAGCGGCCGTTCACCTGCGCTAACCCGGTGCCCATGGTGGCGGCACCCGCAGCAGGAGACGGGGTGGGAAACCAGGACGTGACCCCCCAGGGCTGGGGCGCTGCTGTCAGACCTTGAGGTGTCCTCCTGGGAGTGGGGAGGTGCTGAGGCACCTCAGGGTGTACTCCCAGGGATGGGATGGTGCTGCTGAAACTTGAGGTGACCTCCCGGAGACTTGAGGTGACCACCCAGGATGCTGCTGATGGACTTTCAGGTGAGCTCCTGGACACAGGGTGCTGCTGGTGGACTATGAGTTGACCTCCCTAGGAGAGGAGGCTGCTGTCTAATCTGGAGGTGAAGAATGGGATGCTGCTGATGGGCTTTAAGGTGTCCTCTCAGGAATAAGTTGCTGCTGTTGAACCTTGAGCTGACCTTCCAGGAACGAAATGCTGCTACAGGTCCTTGAAGTGACTCCCAGGCATGTAATGCTGCTACTGGATCTTGAAGTGACTTGCTGGGGACTGGAAGCCACTGTCAGCCTTTCTCCCCTCTCTCCCTCTCCAGATGAAGGCTGGAGCATCGACAACATTTTCTGTCTCCTCTGCCCTGTTGTGGGGATGGGGGGCACCTTCCTGGCCTGTGTGAGGGGGGCTCCTTGTTCCCAAGCCCTGGTGGGGCAGGTGGGACGCTGGGAGTGGGTCCCTTTTCTGGAGAGTGACAATAGATGCTGTAGAAACCAGGATGGTGAATGTGGATTCCTTGAGGGGGCTCCGGGAGGGTCCTGCTTGGTCCGGCTGGGTGGGTGGCACCAGGAATGGGATCCGTGGGCTGGAGTGATGGAAGAGAGAACGGAACACTGGGTGGGGAGAGTCTCCTGCTGCTGGGGGGCTGCAGTCCCAGTCTGAGATGGGGATGGGGCGGGATTGGGGGTCTGGATGGGTCTCTGGGAATGGCAGTGGGGGCTGCTGGGCACTGGGGATTCGAGGGCTGGAGCTGTGGTTCTCATGCAGGGGTGGGGATGGATGGGGATGGAATAGGGGTAGAGTGGGATAGGGGTGAGAGGGGATATGGGTGGGCGGAGTGGGGGTGGATGGGACC